CCACATCCACCTTCGCCTACTTGCAGTTTTCTGAAAGTATTTTGTGATCTGTCAGGCGCTATCTATCCCCTAGTTCAATTCTTTTTTGCTGTCCAACTTAGTTCACAGAGACAGTTCTATTGTTGCTTTCTCAGAGAGGCTATCACTAACTCTCCACCTCCAAGGCCTTTTTATGTACTAAGTTTATTTTCCTCAAGGCATTTATTACACTATATTGTAACTGTTTCTCTGTCCTCCTCTGGACACCATAAGGTAGGGAGTGCCTCTTCTACCTGGTTCATTCCCATTTCTTTGACATAGAGCCTGGTGCATATTTGGCACCCAACACGTGTTTGGCTTGAAAAATGTGCTAAGTTCTGAATGTTTTCTTAGCTATAGAAATTCACGTAGCACTTTCCTCTGTTTTGCAGAACTGTGAAGTTCATGTTATGTTAAAGTACTTTTTAAAAGCCTCTATGGTACAAATATGTAGTATCATGACCATTACTGGAAGGTACTTTTATGAAAACTGAAAAACTGCTCAGGTAAATTGAGAATATCTGTAAGAAACCATCTTTTAGCCCTAAGGATTTGTCAGCCCATGGTCCCCAGAGGCAGCTCCCGCTGGTAAATCTATGTCTCCACCTGAGAAGCAGGTGGTCCGGGCCCACCCAGCTCTGTACAGCGTTTTTGTTCAATTCTCTGTATCTCCGAAACTTCCGGAATCGCCGACAGGGAAAAGGGAATCGATTCCTGAGGGATCTGTGTATGCTAAGGGAGAGAAACTCAAGCCCAGTCAGAGAAAAGGGGGCAACAACACCAGCTTCGGGTCCCGAGACGTCCGCAGAGGTACAGAGAATCCCACGTAGGGAGAAGGGTCCAGGTTCCCACCTACACCCGCTCAGAGCCGGGAAGCATAGAAATTTGGGCCACAGCGCACACCGGGAACCGGAAGTATGTCACAATGCTCGAACACGTCTCTGCCAGCTCCTCAGCCGCTTCTCTAGGAAACTTGGAGGACTTGTCATCTCAGTGGTTGGTCTAGCCTACCTGGTCCTCCTTCATATGCTCAGAGGCTTCTTCCTAACTCAGGCAGGTGGATCGAGGGCTCGTAACCTCTGGTGTCCAGCAGCCACTCACCCTGGGCTTATATCTCTCCACCCAACTCTCACCAGATGTTTTGTAGCCCTAGGTTCCCTTAGGATCTGGTCCTCTTAAGTTTCCAGCTCTCAGGGTTCCTCTTACGATACTGTCAGTTACCTTCACTCAGTTCCCAGAGTCAGAAGCAATAATTAACACCCACCCGAGGAAGGAGGTTCATCTCAATAGGTTTATCTTAGGTAACTAGCTATTAACAGTGGGGTTTTTTTGGGGGGGGTCCTTTTGTTTTATTTTTTTTTAAGACATATTGTCCCAACTTTTAAAACCAAATCCAGCAGATCCATTAATGGGGATTACTTCAATCCAGGTAGGTGGGTGGGTGGTGGCTGCCTTGGTATAGGTGGCTACACCTAAATCACCAGTACTCTCCATATATATTTTGCCTTAGCTCTCATGAGAGACATTGTATTCTTTCTGATTCTTCTTTCTCCTCAGTCATGAGTAGGAAGACCATACATCCTAATTTGTGTCTGTTGTCTGGGTGTAATTATTAGTGGCACTTGCTTTCATTCTCAAAATTGTTCCAGACTGAGCAATAAGTTACCTTATGTCTGAAGACCACTGATATGCTAGGTTAAATGCAGATTCCCAGGCTTTGCCCTCAAACTGATTTAGTTGCTCTGGGGTGGGGCCCAGGCAACTGCACTTCAAACAGCCCAGGTGATTCTAACACAGGTATACATTGAGAAACAGGGTCTTCCTCATAAAGCTAAGGTAGCTGGCATGGAAATCTGGATGTGGGTCCAAAGAGAACTAAAAACATCATAGAGTAATTCACACAGTAATAGATGTGCTGTTCTCCCTGTTCTCCTCTAATGGAAAGTACTAAAATGAGTAAGGAGCGAAGGCAGTGAGACTATCTTCATTGCTTGAGATACTCCATACCTAAGACTTGGAACAACTGAGAGATGGAAATTTTCTAGTATTATGAAGACGAAGCACATTTCTTCGTAATGCTGTCGCTGCATCTATCTTTTTATTTTTCCTTCTCTTTGGTCACCATTGTTAGCCAGTGTTTTAGTATCTAATTTTGCCCTTTGTCAAATTCCTTTTTAAGTTCTCATATTTTCTTCTTCTTTTTTCTCTTTCCACCCCCCCTTTCTTTTTTTTTTTTTTTTTTGCAGATACCTAAAATATGTCTCAGGGCTCCAAGTCTACGTGTCTGTGAAACTACATACAATTCTCAATGATTTTTGTTCATAGTTTTGTTTTTTAAAATTTTTAACGTGATTAAAAAAAAAACAGAAGGATAACCACAAGCACTTAACCACTTGGGTTTCACTTTTCTCTTGCCAAACTGGAAAACTCCTGGCTCTTGAGCATATCTTAAATGGGGGTCTTGCCTCATCCTGCTGCCTCTGCCAAAAACACTTTCCTCTATCCTCCATCTCCCTCTGCAGAGAATCTACTTTTCTCTCAATTACTAACTCAACATTGAACCAACGACACATGTATATTGGTATTTTATATTTCAAAATTCTTCCTTAGAAAATACTTCATATTTTATCATTTTGACTTTAGATATACTTTTATTTCTTCAGAGATCATTTTTGTCTTACTGGAAAAATATGAAACAATCTTCCACTATCAATTATAGTTATGTTTTTTAAAGGAAAAGTATTATCAGCTATAGAAAACAGGAGTCATTTCAAAATACAAAATACCTTCAGCTCAAAATTACAGTGAAAGAGAAACTTCAGGGCTCTATCTACAGCTCTAGGCAGGTTTTAGTTGCAAGATACTTAGCCATTTCTTGATGTAGTGTTCACTGTCTCAAAAGTGCTCACAGGGGTGCTGGACTATCCTTCAAGAACCAATAAGGCTATTTAATTGGATTTGAATCAATATTTCTTACACCTCCTCAACCATAAAACTGACTACTCTGCTCTTTTAGATTGGACTTTTCAAGCGGATAGGGAGGGATGGATACTGGTCTAGGGAACACCTGAAAGGAGGTCAATGCTAGAGATGTCACAGATTGGGAATAAAAGGAGCCAGGATGGAAAAAGAGAAGAGAGAACAGAGAGAAATTTAGAAATGTGGAAGGGAGACAACTGAGAACTCTGGCCAGGAAGACTTGAATAATCACAGAAGCAGCCAAGGTCTGCATGACATTGACTACAGGTTAAGTCAGATATTATTCCTCACATAATGAGAAATGTGCATCTTAAATACAAGAATTAGCATAAGAGAATTAGCACAGTAAGTATCAGAAAACAAGGAAAGTTAGTTTAGTGAACTGTCAGTCATTTAATCATGTTATCCATCACGGCATTCTAAGAAGTACATCTGTCTCTACAGCATACATAACATTGTTTTGTTTCTTGCTGTTTCACCAGTTGTTGAGAAAATTAAGAATTTTTAAGCTGTTAAAAAACACACACACACACACAAAAGGCACAGAACAAACCAAACATCCAACCTTCAACTGCAACTCAGCCATTAGAAATACATCCTTTAAAATCCTGATCTGTTCATATTGTAAATCTTTTAAGAGCTGATATAATGGAATTAGCCAAACATGCTGCTTCAGCATATAGGAGAAGCATTTAAAATACTTATGAACTCAGATATAATAGTGTATGTATTATGTCACTATATGCAGTATATATTTGAGAAGTTGATTTTATTTCAAATTTATGTCTACTATATTTTCCTTAACTTCATCCTAAAATCCCTATGTATTTCTCTTGGAAATAATTTAACCTCAAGACACAATAAAACATGCCCTTGAAGAAATGTAAGATTTTTTTTTCCTTCCAAGATTGTTGATAAAGTCACAAGTAGTGACACAACAGTTTGAAATGTTAGGTCCAAGAATATACAACAGAGCAAAATATATGAAACTGAAAAACACCACCCATCACTTCTCCATTTCTCCATGAAGGACTGTGTGCAATTCTAGTCGCCCAAACCCTGTTTCCTAGCTCATGTGGAAGTTGTTAGCTTTTAAATAGAAAGAGTTTGACTTGGCCTAAACTGAGAAGAATGAAACAATATATAGCATTTTAAAGTAGTCGTTTTTCATCTATAGGAGTATGTTAAACTATGGAGCACCAACAAATGAAATATTATCAATTTGTAAATAGCATGAGGAAGCACTCTGTTATAATACAGAAATCTCTAGATTGTATCATTTCATGAAAACAAGGGGTAGATGAGTATAAATAGTATGCCATCATTCTGTGCAATCACGGAATAAGGTTAGATATTTATATTTTCTTGTATTTACACAAAGAAACACTAAAAGATACATAAGAAACTAGTAAATGACTACCTATAAGGGGAAAGATAGGGACTTTTTTTAATGTTGTTTTGATATTGGAACCAACCAAAGAATGAATTATCTTTTTTAAAAAGTCCTTCTAAGAAAATTAAATTTTAAAGTTAAAAATAGTCACTCAGTACAAAAATAAATAACAAGCCTCAAATGAGAGATAAGTGGGAGGAATCTTTTCTGGAAGGCCACTGTAAATTAAATAGAGAAGAGGTGCATTTATTGAAACATACAGATAGGAAGGTTTGTTGAGCTAGAAAGCAGACCCTAAATGCCTCAATAATGTAAGTTCTATATGGTGACAGAATGTTTCCAGTGACTTGGTAGAGTGAGCAATGCACTAGGAATTAGGAGACAGGGTTCTAGTTCCAGCTCCATTAACCAGCTGTATGATCTCATGCAGTTACTTCCCAGAGCTTCTGTTTCTGTATCTGTCAAATAAGAGCATGTCATTCTGTACCTGTGTAAGGTCCCTTATAGTATTTCTGTTAGTCTTAAGTTACCCGCTGTGTATTTGGTATTCCAATCCTGATTGTTACCACCAAGGGTTTCTCCCACTTCTTTGTCTCCTGGCCTTAGTATAAAGTTTGGTAACAATCAGTGTTAAAGGAAAGAAATTTTTTAATGTACAACCTTGGTAATAATCAATAGGTAGTGCCGAGAAGTGTGGAGGTTATAAAAAGCTACCAACATGGAAGACTGATCATACTTTTTTGTCTACTTTTATATGTATTTGGGATTTTCCATAACAAAAGCTTAAATAAAGAAAAAAAGCAAGACCCAAAAATGCTCCTAAGTCAGGAAAAATACAAGGAGGCTTATATTTTCATAACAAAGATCTTAAGTGAGATGTCAGCTAAGTGTCTTTAGTCTCTGAAAAATTTAAAATCATGAGCAATATTTGTTATGACTAGTCACTGAGCTAATAATAATATATGGCTGCTTCAATTCCTTGGTTACTAACTGAAGGCTGAGTTACTAAACCTCTATAGGGAGAAGTCTTTTGTATATTTATGGGAAGATCCATCCGCCCCCTTTTGTAGGTTAAAAAGCAAATTATCATATCTTAGATGAATGGAAACTAATCCAATAGTTTACATTATAGATTTTACTGCAATTATTTTTAAAGTAATTTTTAAATACTCAGGAAATAACCTTTGACATCTTGTATTCAGGCTGCATATAATTTTAAAGGCTTTAAAAAAAAAGCTTTTTAAAACTAGGATGAAGGAGTTTTCCTTCTGCACACCCAGAGAACTTTTTGGACAGATGTGTGTGAGGCTATGTTGATGCAGTCCACACAACAATATTCAATATCGCAAAGTATGGATGCCACAGGCCAAAGAGAATTTCACAGATGTATTTAAGATATGCTTCTCTCTGCATAAAAATAAGGACATTTTCAAAGGCTTTCCTTGGCGCTTCCGATACTAGAGGATTAAACCAGTATTGTTCTCTCAGGGACAACGAAAAAGCCAAGCCCCTTGTTCCCTTGCCTAGTGGTCCGACGGCAAGAAATTGTGCCCTACCTGTTCCCAGGAGCTAGCTGGACTGAGCCACAGGGTGGACCTTCTGATGCTGAATGAGGTTGCAATGGTAAACGAAGTTCTTGCCACATTCTTCACATTCATAAGGTCTCTCTCCAGTGTGAATTCTCTGATGTTTAATGAGGACAGAACGTCGACTAAAGCTCTTACTGCACTGATTGCACTGGTAAGGTTTCTCCCCCGTGTGGATCCTGAGGTGATGGAAAAGCCCGGCGTTCTGGCTAAAGGCTTTGCCGCAAACATTGCACTGGTAGCGCTTCTCCCCGGTGTGGAGCCTCTGGTGCTGGAACAGGCCTGACCGCTGGCTGAAGGCCCGCCCGCACTCCTCACACTCATAGGGCTTCTCGCCCGTGTGTGTCCTCTGGTGCTCGATGAGGATGGAATTCTGGGTGAAAGTTTTCCCACATTCACAGCAGACGTAGGGCCTCTCCACTGAAGAGCTTACCCGTTGCCTTTCCAATCTGCCTTCATGATCACAGGTCTCTTCACAGTCAGGCATTTGAATAATATCACCATTCAGGTTCTCAGGTACTTTCACAAGCAATTTCATTTCTTTAAACAGCTCTCTCTTTGGGGCTAACTCCACATTCCCAGCCCCAGCCTCATCATCTGAAATAATAAATGGATCGCACAAATGTTATGTTTCCAAAGAAAAAAGGAAAAAGAAAACTAGTTGGGAGAGTGGATGGAAGGGGACAAGCAACCATGCTTTGTTTACTTTCCCGCTCTAAACAGTTATTCAGGGAGAGGATGACCTGTATGGTAATGGCTTGTTTGCTGTCTGCCTCTCCCACCAGACTGTAAACTTCCTGAGGGCAGAGACCATGCCTACCCTGCTCATCACTGTATCCCCAGTACCCAGCATGGTGCCTGGCATGTAGCAAATACTAAGTAAAAGTGCCGACTTGATGAACATTCAGGGGATGAGTTAGGCTTCCTGAGGAAATTCTAATCCTCACCGATCTCCAGAACCCGGCACACCTCTTGCAAGTTACACTGAGGCTGCTTCTCCATGGTTTGGAGCTGGCCACTTGATGACTCCTGGGCAGCTTCTGGAGTTGCTTTCTCCTTCCCAAGCTCTTCCTGTTCATGCTCATTGGTTGGGACCTGGTAAAAATTAAGGACAGTTGGTAACCAAATATTAGAGAAGACACTGAGAGGCCTTCTGAGGACCACTAGATAGAAAAAAAAGGACCAAGAAACTGGCAAAGAAAAAAACTCAGAGAGATTACAAGCCTATTACAGATTGAGGCAGACATAAAGAAATCCTTCTACTCCTCTTCCTCCGATTGCACTGAAACCCTACAGTCGATCCTACAAGTACACACCCCTGCTCTCTCCCCTTCCCACCTGCTCTCCTGGTTCATCCAGCTCTCTCTCCAGATCCTCCAGCACAGTGACTGCCTCCTCTCCACTCACTGGGCGGTGCTCTCTCACCCAGGCTTGGAGCTCCTCAGGCAGGATGGTCAGGAACTGCTCCAGCACCAGCAGCTCCAGGATCTGCTCCTTGGTGTGCATCTCTGGTCTCAGCCACTGATGGCAGAGCTCCTGGAGTCTTTGAAAAGCCTCTCGGGGCCCAGGTGTCTCCTGGTAGCAGAACTGCCGGAAGCGTCTACGGAAGATCTCTCTGGTGTGAGGGTTCTCTCTTGACAGGCCAGATTCTTCCCTATAGGCATGGTTCCCCTCTTCCTCTTTTACTTTCACTGCTAGAAGTCCCTTCTGCATCTCTGGAGTCTGAAGGGCCAAGGCTGTGGTCACTTAAGGCTTAAGTATTCAGAAAAAGGATCTATTCTTGATAATCCCCGCCGTGATCTTTTCTTCTGGAAATCCCAAAATCTAAAAAATAATTTGCAGGGGGAAAAAAAAGTATTAAAATGTAGAAAATCTTTTCTGCTGGTAGGCAATGGGAGTATTTATACCAAAATCAGTAGCTTTGTCTAATGAAGAACATGAATGCATGATTAATGATAAGGACAATGCAAATACTGATGAAGGTAATATAGGAGGGAAAACAAAAACAAAAACAAAAACAAAATGCCCCCTTCCCCCGTTTTATTGAAGGAAGGGACCATTTTGATTATCATGAATGCATCGGCTCAAATAAATCAGCTTGAATATACTGCATTTCCATTTGAATGGTAAGATATTAGATTCATAGGCAGTTTTTAGTTGCATGGAGATAAACACTTTAGGCCCAAGTGGTCACAGATGACACTAGGAATCAAAGAGAAAAGGGAAAGAAAATGGAGGAAGAAGGGAAAGTAAAGAAGACACAAAGACAGAATGAGGAACAAAAGAAATGTACCTGGGGGAGAGGCAGAGTCCCTCCAATCAGGTGAGCTGTTGCAGAGAGATCTATGTTTGGAGTGGGTAAGATCTGGGATTGAGACTTGTCCTCCAGGTACCCCCTCCAGTCTTGGGCTTCACATTTTGAGCCTTAGTCTATTCTGTAAAATAGGAATCCTAAAACCAACCTTGCCTACTTTTCTAGGTTGATACAGAGATAAAATAAGATCTCAGATAAAGAGCACAAAGAAGCTGGCAGTTTGATAAACTCTAAACTATTATACATTACCACTATTGTTATTTTTCTTATAAATTCTATTGAAAGGTTAAATGAATATCCTAGTGATCTGAACAATAAATCAGAAAATAGTCAACTGGAATGGTCTCAGCACATAGATACCAAAAAAAGGAAATATTAGTTCTAATATTTTAAAAACAGGTAGAATCTTAGTTCTTTCTTGCCCTTTAATTTCTTGAAAATTGTTTCTCTTTGAGGCTCCTTTAGGATGGAGAGTGGGCAACTGTATATAAAATAAAATGAATGCTAATAAAGAGACAAATGTCTACCACCACTTAAATCTTCACCGGGGTAATAGTTAATGACAGCAATTTTCTGAAAGAAAGATAATTATGTGACCTAGTGATTTCCAAGCACCATTTTATCAGCTACAAGACCCGTAATAAGATACTTAACCTCATTTTCTTCCTGGACGTTAAAAAAAAAGGGGGGGGGGTGCGAGGGAGAAGTTACATACTATTAGTGCCCACCTCATTGAGTTATGACAAGCAAATAAGTTAATATTTGGAAAGTGCTCTTAACAGTGCTGGCTGACACATAAACGCTATTTATTTATTTTTAAGGGTATTTTTTGGGTGAGGGCCATGAATAGATTTATTTACGTATTAATGTTTTGATGGAGGTACTAGGGATTGAAACCGGGTCCATTAAAGTGCTATTTAAACAGTTGTTTTGTTTGTTTTGTTTTTTTAATTAACGGATGGCAAGAGCCTTCACACTTTTGAGTGAATCAGACTAAGAGAGGCGGTGGCATGTTATAAAACTCTACTTGCTCGTTAAGTCCCCAGTATTGAATGGTAGATGAGGGAAAATAAGAACAATCCTGGATACCCGAAACTACTCTTATCCTAAGATGCGAAGGGAAGATTTCAGAAGGGCACAGGTGCTAGGACAGCGTGGCGGAAGGGCTCAGGATGAGACGAAGGGGACCGGGGCGGGCGGCAAGGACACTGACTTTCAGTTATCAAGGCCCTTCCAGTGCCGGGGCAGCCTCCTCTGCCCCTCGCCTGTCCGGTCAAGCTCTGGCCAAAAAGACCCGCTGTCTCCTCCCCACACCCACTCCGGGGGCGCAGCGCACAGCCTGGACCTCTCGAAGGCCCTGCGTTGCCCCAGCTTCGAAGCTCACCAGACATCCGTGGCGCCACCTCTGAATCCTTGACAACCGCAGCCCCAAGAATGATAAACTACAAAGGCCGGAAGTGCGTCACACGGGCCGCTCTCCGCGGAAACGGCGGTTCCGGCCGCGTTCCTTCTAGTAAGCCCGGAGGTTTTCGCACCTCTGTGGTCGCCTCGCTGGATCCCCTTTCTGGGCGTTGTGAGGCGCTGTTCTCGTCCAAGGAGGTTGATAGACTAACAGCAGTGTTTTACACACAGTAACTCATTTACACGTACTAACTCACTTATTCTGCATAGCAACCCTGTGAGTTAGGTATAATTATCCTCATTTAGCAGATGCGGAACCTAAAGCACATTCATTCTCTATTTATCAGTTGCCATTTCCTCCGAAAGAACGGTTTTTGTGCACTTTACTTTCTCGCACAATACATTCCAGCCTCCTTTTACACTTTTCCTGCCTTAGACCTGGAATCCACCATTGGTCCATGAAGCTATGGTTCCTTTTAATGGAGAATGGTATCCAGAAACCAAAATCTGGGTTTTGAGTAATAGATCAGCTCATTGCTGCTGGGATAAATCATTGCTTCTAGGCCGTATCAGTGGACCTTAGGGCTGAAATATATATATGATATACATATGATGGGGATTTTATGAAGTATTTCCAATTCAAACGTGACTCCACAGATTTTTGTTTGTTTTCATTTTCACCATTGCACATTTGATTTTCCTTTCCTCCACAGTGAAAACCCTGGTTCCCAAGAGCATCAACATATTCACTCTATTTGCTCTATTTTACGATATATATTTTTAAATTTCAAAATTAAAATATCAACATCACTAACAACACACCTACTATGCACAGTTCCAAATGTCTTTGCTTGCTTTTTCTTGAATTATATCACATTAGGGAGGTATGTTAAGAGGACATACACAGACCCTATCTGAATTCTTTTTTCTGTGTAGTTATGTTATAAACCTGATATATTGTTAATCATTTGTTTCTGTTTTATTCAGTTTCGGGATTTGCTTTCCTAATTAAAACACTTAGTTCAAAACCAAAATTATATGAAAAGATATTTTCAGAATTTTGCTTCCATCCTTAACTCCTTTATCTCATATAGACTCATGCTCCATTTTCATTAGTTTTAAACTTATCTTTTCCTTCCTACTTCCTCTCATTCCTTCCCTTTCTTCCTTTTTTTTTGGCAAAAATAATTGTTTACCTCTATAAATTATCATATTATATATACTCTTTTGCACCTTGCTTTATTACTTAATAGAATAACCTGGAAATTATTCCAAATCTGTTCATAGAAATATTCCCCCTTTCCTTTTTACAGCGTCCTAGTACTCCATTGTGTGGATGTACTATAATTTTTTCTATCAGTCTTTTAGGAGTGGATATTTAGATTGTTTCCAACATTTAACTTTAACAAATAATGCTGCAATGAACATGAAGAGAGGAGAAAGAAGTGTCTTTGTATAGGTTGTATCATTTTGCACTTTCAACAGTAATGCAAGATGGTACCTGTTTTCACACAGTCTCTCTAGCTGTATGTTTTCAGGCTTTTGAATTTTGCCAGTATGATAGGCCATTAGGTGTTCATGGAACTGCAAATCAAGTGCTAAAATCCCTGTTAAAAATGGACTCATGGTGCTAAATGTTGGCAAGGATTATGGAGCAATCAGAATTTTCATACACTGGATGAGAGTGTAAATTGGCAACACCATTTTGGGGAAATTCTTTGGTATATCCACCAAAGTTTAACATATGCATATTCTATGACTCAAGACTTTCACTTCTGGTTATATTGCCACCAGAAGTGCGTATATATTTACATCTAAAGATTGATGGGGTTTTTTTTTTTTAGGTTAAAGATAGGTCTTAACAGTGTTTTTTATAGCTTTATACTGGAAACAACCCCAAAATCTGTTAACAGTAGGATGATCACCACACATTTATAAAGCAAAGGAAGAAAAACAATGCCCAAACCTTTAACTATTCACTTGAGAAATGTTATGCTACTTTCAACTCTGGGTTCTGGGTGTGCATTTTTCTCTGAATTTGATATAGTCATGGATAGGATGAACCTGGCCAGGAACCTATGTCAGTTTACAATTTTGTCTGCATTTTAAAAAACTTGTTTGTAAAACTGAGTTTTGTCATGTAATGATATATTGCCTATGTTTCCCCATACATAAAGTATCTGTTACTATATAGCTTTTGCTTATTTAGTGATTGCAGGGTATTATACATGTATATCTGCTGAGTCTTTGTATATTTTATATAGAAAAACCAATAATATTGGCTGCTTTTTAAAACAATAGCTTTACTTTTGATAGTTATTTTGTTCGACACATCTTTACTATTTCTATTCATATTGTTTTGGTCTTATTTTCCATACATTCAATTGTCAGAAATGTTTTTCTCTGCCACAATTATGACAGAAAAGTATTTCATTTTTTAATAATAAACTGTTCACATTTTTAACTGTTTGTTTCACATTTAATTTGTTGTAATTTCCAGTATGAAGTATAGACCCAAATTAATTATTCACCATACAAACATCCTATAGGATCAACATTGATTAATAATAGTGCTTCCTTATCCTTTTGTGAAGTACCTCTGATTTGATGTTCTTAAAATAATTAAATGTAAGAAATCATAAAGTAATTTTATAAGGGGAGTTGTATAGCTCAGTGGTAGAACACATGCCTTGAATGCACAAGGTCCTGAGTTCAATCCCCAGTGTGTCCATTAAGAATAAATAAATAAAATAATTTTATACTTTTAATGAATGAAAATTTCAGACACATTTGATAATTATATTTTAAGATTTTTAAAGTTTGAACATAGTAAGACAATTTTCATGGTAATTCCTTTCAGATTTGTTTGTTTCAGAACTTCATATGCCTTTAGCATTTTTTCACTGATACTATATTAAAAGTTGCAAAGAATGTTCAAACTAACTTTTAGGTGTTTTTTATGGAGATGCTTATTTTCATAAGCAAAGTGTGGTAATAGGAAATACATATTTGGTCTTTGTCCTCAGTTCCTGGCACAGAGCTTCTAAAACATTGAAATTTCCTGAGTGATAGAAGTGTCTTTTCTTACTCATCCTTGAATTTATCCTAATGTGACTCTAGGTGGGCTCCTAGGTGGCCAGAGGAACCGACCGTGTGATTAGAGGGTTGGAACTTTCAGCCTTATCCCCTGACTCTGGGGAGGGGAGGAAGCTGGAGATTGAATTAAGTATCGATGGCTGATGATTGACTTAATCATGCTTATGTAATAGAACCTGATTAAAACCACTGAGCAATGAGGTTTGGAGAGCTTTCTGTTTGGAGAACACACTGAGGTGCAGAGGAGGCACCCTGAGAATGAACGCCCACTGCCTCTCCCTGTCCTATCTTGCCCTGTGTATCTCTTACTTTTTGGCTGTTCCTGTGTTGTATTTTTTTATAATAAATTATTAAAAGTATGTGAAATGTTCTCTTGAGTTTTGTAGGCTATTCTAGCAAATTATCAAACCTGAGGAGGGAATTGCAGGAACCTTTGACTTTATAGCTGGCTGATCAGAAGTACAAGCAGCCTGAACTTGGCATTGGCAACTGAAATGGCAGTTTTGTGGGACTGAGCCCTTAACCCATGGGGTCTATGCTAACTCTAGGATTGAATTGAACTGTCAGATACTCAGATGGTTTCAGAGAATTGGTCGTTGTGGGAGAAAAACCCAACACATTTGATGTCAGAAGTGGTATTGGTAAACACATCAAATAAAGGTTTCCTTGCCTTGACTTCTGAGCATGATTTTGATGGAACGTCTATTTAAAGGAGGATATATTTCAGGTTATTGTTGGGCTTTCCCATTCAGAATAAAGCATCATTTTCTCATATTCTCTTGGACAAAATGGCCCTCCTCAGAAGTCTCCTCAAAGCGCCTTTAACATCCTTGTTTCTCAGGGTGTAGATGAATGGATTGGCCATGGGAGTAATAACACAGTAAAACAGCGTCAGAGCTTTGATAAGGTCTTGAGGGTGATCCGCTGAGGGCTGCATATAGATGTAGATGCCAGGCCCATAAAATAAAGACACCACCAGAAAGTGCGATGAACAAGTGTTAAAGGCCTTAAGTCTCCCATTGGCAGAAGGAATTCGAAACACAGCTTGGGCAATGTAACCATAAGAGACAAGAATCATGGAGAGGGGACCCATTATGAGGAAGGTGGCCACCACTGCTAAAGTAAGCTCATTGACTGTGGTGTCCACGCAAGCCATCTTAATCAGGCCAGGCAACTCGCAAAAGAAGTGATCCAGTTCCTTGTTCCCGCACAAGGGCAGCTGGACTGTGAGTGTGGACTGCAGTAGTGAATTGGCCAGACCAATGAGCCAAGCAGTGCTGGAGAGTAGCAGGCAGAGCTTGTGGTTCATGATGACAAAATATGTCAGAGGCTTACACACAGCCACATAGCGGTCTAAGGCCATGGTGCCAAGCAGGACACATTCTGTACAGCCTAGCCAGTGAAATACGTAGGCCTGGACCATACAGCCTACATAAGTGATGTTCTTGTTGGGACCCCTTAAGTTGAACAGCATTTGGGGTACAGTCGTGGTGGTGAAACAGAAGTCCAAAAAGGAGAGGTTTGTGAGGAAGAAATACATAGGACTTTGGAGCTGGGAATCTAGTTGAGAGACCAGAATAATAGCAATGTTTCCCAAGAGTGTGAACATGTAGGAGATTAGGAGGACAAAGAAGAGAGGAAGATCCAACCATGGATATTTGGTAAAGCCCACGAGAATGAAATCCTCTGGAAAACTTTCATTCATGTGTTTCATTGAATTTTGATGAGAGACATCTGCTAAAATCAAAGAAGATAAGGGTGAGTGGTTAAAAAAAACTTAGTGTGGGGGTAGGGAATAGCCCAGTGGTAAAATGTATGCTTAGCATGCATGAGGTCCTGGGGATTGAAGCCAGGACTCCGTGAAAATAAAATAAATAAACAAATAAACCTCAGTAACCTCCCCCCCAAGAAAAATAATAAATTGAGTTGGCAGAAGTTTTGACGATACCAGGAAAAGAATATACATTTATGGGAGAGTGATGGGGTACACTCTCAATAGAAATCATAACAACATTAAATGAATATAATAATTATAATTAATATTATAAAGTCACATTTGAAAAATCCTTGCAGTAGAGAAAGTGGTTTCATTTTTTCCCCCTAAATCAAAGCCCTATGTGATAGATCAGTGGACATTACTTGTAATGGTTCTTCTGTAGGATTAAAGAAGCCACTGGAAGGCAGTCTTCGCCCAGCTACCTTGCAGCTAAGGGATTGTGTAACCTAAGAGGTGGGGGCTTGGATCAGTGCATAGGTCACATATGGGATTAGTGCTCTTATAAAAGAGAGCCCACAGGGATTCCTGACCTTTCCACCAGGTAAGGTTATAGCTAGAAGGTGCTATTAACCAAAAAGTGGGCTCTTACCAAGCACTGAAACTGCTAGGGCCATGATCTTGGATTTCCCAGCCTCCAGAACTGTGGGATAAATGATCTAATAGATCACCTGGTCTCTGGCATTTTGTTATAGCAGCCTACATGGACTACGGCCTATGTCATCAGGGATAAGCAAATTAAAACAATGAGATTCCACTACATATATATTAGAATGGTCAAAGTCCAGAACAATGACACCAAATGCTGGCAAGGATGTAGCACAATAGGAACTCTCATTTACTGCTGCTATGAATACAAAATGGTATAGCCACTTTGGAAGGGAGTCTGCCTGGCAGTTTTTAAAATAAAACTAAACATACTCTTACCATATGAGCTAGCAGTCACACTTCTTGGTCTTTACCCAAATGAGCTGAAAACTTATATCCACACAAAAGCTTGCACACAGATGTTTATCACAGCTTTACTTGTAATTGCCAAAATTTGTAAGCAACCAAGATGTCCTTCAGAATGTGAATGGATAAATAAACTGTGATATACTAAGACAGACAATAGAGGATTTTTTAGCTCTAAAAAGAAACAAGCTATCAAGCCATAGAAAGACATGGAAGAATCTTAAATGCTTATTACCAAATGAAAGAAGCCAATCTGAAAAGGCAACACACTGTGTGATTCCAACTATCAAACAGTATGTTTGGAAAATACAAAATTATGAAGATAGTAAAAAGAGAGGTGGTTCCCAGGGTTTAGCGGGGAGGAAGGAATGACTAGACAGAGCACAGAGGACTTTGAGTCAGTGAAACTATTCTGTATGATATTTTAATGGTGTATACATGTCATTATACATTTTTCCAAACCCGTAGCACATACAGTACCAAGAGTGAACCATAATGTATCTATGGACTTTGTGCGATTATGACGAGTCAAGGTGTTCATCAGGTGTAACCATGGTACCACTCTGGTGAAGGATGTTGATAAAGGAGCTGGGATGCAATGCATGTGGTGGGGCAGGAATTATATGGGAAATGTCTGTACTCTTGCTTAATTTTGCTGTGATGTAAAACTGGCTAAAGTCTTAAAAAAATACTGCGAGGCTTCCTTACTGAGAGGGCTGTAAAAGGAACAATTCTCCTCAAAGAACTCTCTGTACCCATCAGGTAAACAGGGTTAGATGGCTGCAGGATCTGCCAGGGCAAGAAACATCACAGGACCTTGCTAATTTGGGGCAGAAATTTGGAGGCGACAGGGGGATGAATTCTGGGAGTTTTCAACCAAAGAAATTAGATATGACTTTGTCATAATTGTTACCTTTACCAGAGGTTTCATTGTTACTGTCTGAGCCATGGGTATAGTTTTAATTATTTTTTTTCTGTTGTTTTAGTCTACTCTAACAACTGGGTTGAAAGTGACCCACCTAAATGATGTTGATTTGTCAGAATTCTCTTAGCACAAGGTAGAATAACCCTGAAGACCTGTGTTGTATTTGCATTAATGCAGTTGAGGAGAACAGGCTGGTGATGAGGACAAGATCCCTTGTCATGTTTCCAAAAACAAAACAACAACAGGAATTGTACCATCTGACCATCTGTGAGACCTGAGATTTTTTTCTTTTAGGTAACCATAGTTCATTATATGATTCCACTGTGACTAATTTTTTTTAGATTGAAATATGGTTGATTTACAATGTTGTGTTAGTTTCTGGTGTACAGCATAGTGATTCAGTTATACATATATATGTTCCTTTTCATATTCTTTTTTATAATAGGTTATTACATGATGTTGACTATATAGTTCCCTGTGCTGTGAAGTAGGATCTTGTTGTTTATCTATTTTATATACAGTGGTTAGTACACTGTGACTAATGTTTAAGCAATCATGAAAGTGTAAACTCTCCATGCTGATCTAACCAAAAAGTAAGAGTATCTGGGAAAAATAAGAGTCAAGGAATAAGAGTATCAGGAGAATGAGGCAAAGATCTCCCTCTCTCCTGTCCTCACTCTTGCTCCCTCTTTGTAATTGAGGGTTAAAAGCTCTCATTTTTTATTCTAAATAATAAATAAATTATATTTAAAGCTAAAGAAGTCCAAAAATAATAAAAGCTTGCTATTAAGAAATATGGGCAAATAGAAGAAAACACTGAAATTATTAAAAATCCGTTACCTCGGAGAACAGGGATTGAGAGTGAGAAATGATGAGGAAAGGAACTGCTGTTTTTCACTGCAAGCCTAGAGTATTATTTTATTTCAACTTTGAGCATGTATGCCCTTAATATAAATGAAAATTAGATAAGAAGGAAGGGATGGGATCTTAACATTTATAAATGATGGCAAAGGCATTAGAGAGATATATGAAAGCAGTTCTTTTGCCTCTTTCCTTTTCACCCATTTCTGTCCTCCTCTAACCTTAAAAAACCTAAGTATAAGAATGAGATCATTAATATTTTATCACTGGTTATTGTTTATATTGTTTGACCCTCAAATTTATCCTCAGTGTATTGGCATTCATTCATTCATTCATTCATTTGAAAACAAAAAGATAAAAACTTCATCTACTGGGAAATTCTTGCTGATCTTCACATAAGGGTGTGACAAAAATGACAGAAGATTGACTTTTAGAGAATTGATTTTTTAGTGACTTGACATGCTTGCTCATTCCTCCCTGTCTCCTAGATAACTGGATCTTCTGGACATAATTCTGGGATCAACAAAATTTTGAACCAGTGACAGCCATTGGTCTGGCATAATGAGAAGTCATGTAACTCATGGAGGCAACTTACCCTGCTTGATCTTGTCCAAAACTCAGAGCCTTCATTTTCTGTCAAAACAAAATAAAACTGAACAAAACCCAATACCATCTAGGTTGGTGTGAATAGAAGGAGACATCACCAGAACTTACCTCTTCTCATTTGAATTTGTATTAAGCAGTTGTCATTAGCTATTGAAGCTTAGTTAGGAGAAAGTTTGCAAAAGGGTTGGATTCCAACAGGCCTGCGGGAGGGAAGCAGGTACAATCAGGCCAGGGCTTCAATAAGAGCCACCAAAGGTCTTAATATGGCAGGTAGGGTGAATGGGATCCTGGAGGCATCAGATAATCTCTCCTGGTTCCAGATCTGTTCAAAGGCAGATAAATTCAGTTCACACCCAGAGAGCCAGTGATCCCCTAGGGGCTGTCACTGGTGAATTAATCACCCTGGAGACAGGATCTATCTTTTATTTACACTTTTGGTTTTGATTATAGATTGCATCACTTCTTCCAGTCATTAATCCCATCTTAATAGCAAGGGAGAGCAGGATTTACCCCAACAATTTCCAGAAAGAAAACAAATATTGTGCTAATAACAATAATGATGATAATAATGGAATAACACCTCCTAGGCAATTTACATGAATTGTCTCCTAACAACTCCTTGAGGTTGGTACTATCATTGTCCTCATGTTACAGTTGAAGAACTTGAAGCTTAAAAAAGGTAAGCAATTTGTCCAAGGTTCATTAGGCTCACACACTTCAGAATTCACACACCAAGTGAATGCTTTGTAAATGTCATGATTAAACATTGGGTTTTTAAATGACTGTAGAGTTTGGGGTATGTGCTTATTTGGTCTTTTCAACCATATTGAAAGCTCCCTGGGGGCAAGATTTGTGTCCTCCTTTCTCTTTTTCAACTGGCTAAAGCACAGTGCCTATCAAATTAAGATCCTCTTTATTTCTTACGAATGTAGCTACAATTTCCACCCATCTTCATCACACAAAGACTATGAACAAGGTAGAACTAATGAAGCAATTGAAAAAGCCAAATCCTTGCTTAATTGTCTGACGTACTTTTATCTCAATGATTTCTTCACATCCAAAAAGCTCCCTTTTCAGCCTGCACTTCAGAAGTTATTAGATGCTGTCATGACTAAGCTGTTACTCAGAGCTAAGCTGTACAGTCCTCCGTCTTCCCACTTGTTACGGACTGGAATGTGTCCTCCCAACATTCATATGTGGAAGCCCTAACCCCCAATATGACTACATTTTGAGATAAGGCCTTTAAAGAGGTAGTTAGGGTTAAATGAGATCATGAGGGTGGGGCCCTAATCCAGTAAGACTGGTGTCCCTATAAGAAGCTAGCTTAGTCTCTATCTCTCTTTCTCTCCCTTTCTCTCTCTGTCTCTCCCCTAGCACATACAGAGGAAAGATGTGTGAGGACACAAGGCAGGAAGAGAGGTCTCACCAGAAATCAACTCTGATGGCACCTTGATGTTGGACTTTTAGTTTCCAGAACTATGAGAAAATAAACTTCTGTCATTTCAGCCCCCTGGTCTGTGATATTTTATAGCAGCCCTAAGTAAAACATTGTCTTTAAATCTAAAGAATCAGGGCATGAAGAGAGCATGTCCAAGGCAAAAAATATCCCACAAAAAACAGCCACCACCACCACCAAACAAACAAACAAAC